AGAGTTTTAAACCACAGAAAGGGATTTATCATCCCCAATCGGAAGTGGACCATTTCCGGGAGAGGAGAGGAAATTTCATCACCCAGGACTGGTGCGACAGGGCAGAAGGCCGTCTTCGGCGACGAGGGCGACTTCAACGCCAAGGGCGGCATGGTCCAGATGGGCAAGGCCCTCGCCGGCGACATGGTGCTCGTCATGTCCGTCTGGGGACGACCACGCCAGTCAACATGCTCTGGCTCGACTCCACCTGGCCCCATCGACGGCGCCGGCAAGCTCGGTGCTGAGCGCGGTGCCTGCGCCACCACCTCGGGTGTCCCCGCCGAGGTCGAGGCCCAGGTGCCCAACTCCAACGTGATGTTCTCCAACATCCGCTTCGGCCCCATCGGCTCCACCGTTGCTGGCCTGCCCGGCGGCGGCACCAACCCCGGCACCCCCGGCACCAGCACCAGCACCAGCGTCCCCTCCAAGACCTCCTCCGTCTCGACCGGCCCTACTGGCGGCGCCAAGTCCCCCCACTACGGACAGTGCGGTGGCAACGGCTACACCGGCCCGACTGAGTGCGAGGCTCCCTGGACCTGCAAGAAGTCCAACGACTGGTACTCCCAGTGCCTCTAAGCGACTCGCAACCCGCTCGTGATGGGCTCGAGTCGGATTGATGATGATGATGATGAAGGGGGGATAATGAACGCGCCGCATGTATCGGCATCCTTCAGCTGTACATAGTTTCTGATGCATCGTGGGGCTTTTCATCGCTTCATAGTATATACATTGTTGCATTCATGGTCTTGACATCCGCTCTACTGCGTTCCCGTGTGATATTGGTAAATGATTGACACGATGTTTTGAAACGGGAGGGAGAAAGAGGGGGGCCGGGGTTGGTAACGAGCTGAGACTCTTCACATTATTCCAGGTCTAGAAATTGTGGCGGGAAGCCGGCCTCTGAATCCCAAGCCGCCACATCAGCAGGGTCCATATCCGGGTTCTGGGAAATACTGATCCAAAAGATTCTGCAGCCGATATCAGCAGCCATCTCAACCATTTCCCCAAGCCGAAAGAAACTCACCCAGTCTGGCGCCGTAGCGCCATCGATCACATCAGGCATGAATTCCGCGTACGGCAAGCCAGGGTCAGCAGCGGGGAGCGTTGACGATGCCCCCGAGCTGTCAATCAACACTACCCCCCGGGGCCCTGAAGGAGGCGGCGGGGATAGCGGCGCGCCATGCTGCCGCCCCAGCAAGGCCTCGGCATTCTTCCTCTCCGACACCTTGCGCAGCATCAAATCCAGCGCAAACGTCGCCGTATGCGCCTCGGGCGACAGCGTGCTCGTCGCCGCCCACACGGCCCGCGACGTCTGCAGCGCGCGGTACGTCCGCCCCGCGAGCCCACCGTCGCCATCCTCCTCCTCCTCCTCCCCATCACAACCCCCCCGACGAACCTGATCCCGATCCAGACCCCGACCGTCACCCTGCCGCCACCTCTCCACCCTCCTCAACCTAACCAACAAATCCAAACACAACACCATTGCCGCCAACAAAAAAGAATGCGCCATCAACGACATCAGCATCCACCGCTCCTGATACAACCTGCCCCCCACCCGCGACGCATGCGCCAAATCCGCCTGCCGCGCGAGCATCTCCAGCGCGGCCTCGACGCACGCCCGCCGCGACGTCTCGCCGCGTGCCCCCCACCAGACCCCATACCGCCACCCGCACCATCTTGCGAACATATGTGTCAACACTGCTCGACATCGTCGTGTGTGTTCACTGCAGACGCGGGATCACCATCACGGTTTGCTCATGCAAAATAGTGCCAGGAGGGGAGACCACCAAGCCCATTAACACTCAGCTCACCCGACTTTCATTGCGCTACCGGAACTCCCCGATGGAGCTTTCC